AAATTTCGATTTCGTTTTATCTCAGTTTTTGTATTTTTTTGCACGTTTCATAAACCTGTTTCGACTTCGAAGATTTATAGACGCGAAGGCGAATTAATCCTAGCGCTAGACGGACGACTGATAAAAATAATTACTAGAGGTGGTAACTTAAGGCATATTGCTGGAACTTCCCGAAGCAAAAATAAATAAATTTTGAAAAATTCTTTTTTTGAGAATTTTGAAATTTTTGAAAAAAATTATTTGAAAAATATCATTCTTTAATATTTGGCACACGCATACATCCGTTTTTTCTAATTCATGCCAAAATTTTCAGAAGGCCTTGAAACTTGAAGATATGCCAAAATTTTCGTTTTCCATTTTTTGCGATTACTATAACTTACCCCTACCCTCTACGATCTAGATCCTATGATGTTTTTCTTCTCATTCATAAAAATCGAATGATATCCTCTAAGATAATTCTGGAATACTAAGAGAAGTATCATTTTTCCTGTCACAAGTTTCCTATCAAATTGCAGTGCTTTGACATCTTATTTACGCATTCCCAGATCAAATTTTGAGTCAAAGACATTGGATGTCGAGACGGTTATACAATATGTATTTATTAGACATAATAGACGGAATATTTTTTGCAAGCAAAACAAATCAAATTTTCTTTGTAATCAAATTCCTGGATGCAGTCATGTCTTTTATGTGATCATGTGTGGGAGATAGGTGTCTGAAATAAATGCTGCAAAATATTTCCAGGGAATTATATCTTCTTTTTATTAATCCATAACTGAAGGAACTTGATATACTAGAAGTCGAACTATTTTTTAAGTAATTTTTTAAACTTTACTTGCTCTTTTAAATTGATAATTAAATATTTTGCTTTTTTATGAAAATTTAACTGCAGTACAATCAGCAGTAAATTATTTAGGAATTAAAGTGTTCTAATTATATTTTAATTTTTTTATACCAAAAGAATCATCTTATAGCTGTACTTTTTACATCTTCTAACTTGACAAGGTTATAAAAATTTGAAATTTTTGATTTAAGGAGGAGTTTACAGAAAAATATTATACTTTTTTCAGAAATATGTGATTTTAGTTATCAATAATTAATAATTTTGATGTAGGTGTTAAAATGGCATGGGTACTACGTAGTACCTGTAATATTTTATTATTACTAAAATTAAAATGATTATTGAAAATGAATAATAATTCCTTCTGAAAATGCCTAATATTTTTAAAAGAACAATTTTATATCTGTTTTTTAGATCTTCTAATTTTGCAAAAATCAGAGTATTATAGAATTATGCAACAAAATTATAAAAATTTGTTTTTTTTTATCCAAAGATCATTTTTGTCGTTTTCTTACACTTCGGTTGCTTTTTTAAATCGACGCTACTTTCTGATATTTATATATTAAAAATTTTAATTTTTAGGATTTTGAAAATTAGCAGGTTTTAATCATATTTGAAATTTGCTTGTTGTTTTTTAATCTACAATAGCACTTTTAAATTAACAATAATCAGAGCATTTTCATATGATTCAATTTATGCAATGAAATTAACATTATTTTATAGAGTTTATTGAGGAAATGTAATTCAAAATTGTAAAACAATTCTTGAGGGCCTTAGACATTTTAATTATAGTTTAAAAGTTTTTCTAATACCCAAAATGGATCATAAATTCGTGTTATTTTTAAGTTTTTATTTGGCTCGATTTTTTTGGTTACGGTTGAAAAGTTTAAATAAACAAAATTAATGAAAATTAACCAAAATAACCGAAAAGTGATCATATATCAACATACATAATTTTTTTTTCTTCATAGTTGCTATCAATATTGTTACTCTGTTTTGGCTTAACGTTGAGTTCTGGGACACCCTGTATTTAACAAAATAAATAAAAATTAACCACAATAACCGAAAATTGCCCATATATTTTTTAAATCTCCAGGTTGCGCTTTCAACATACATATCTTTTTTCTTCATCGTTGCGATCAAGATTGTCACCCCGGTTCGGCTTGGCGTTGAGTTCTGGGACACACTATATTTAACAAAATCAATAAAAATTAACCCCAATAACCGAAAAGTGCTCATATATTTTTTAAATCTCCAGGGTGTACTTTCAACATACATAATTTTTTTTTCTTCATAGTTGCGATCAAGATTTTCACCCTGTTTTGTCTTGGTTGAGTTCTGGGTCACCCTGTATATAACAAAATCAATAGTAATTAACCACAATAACCGAAAAGTGCTGATATATTTTTTAAATCTCCAAGTTGCTCTTTCAACATAAATATTTTTTTTCTTCATAGTGGCGATCAATATTGTCACCCCGTTTCGGCGTGGCGTTGAGTTCTGGAACACCCTGTATATAATAGAATCATATATTATTTAAAATAGATATTTTTGGCAATAGTTTTTTTTATTGGTATTTGTATCCGGAAAGTAACAAAACATACTCACACAAACTTCAACATTCTTTGATTGTCTTTTAAGATTTAACTTTTTCCCAAAATTTTAGAAAATTTCTCAACATCACATATAATGACTTCACTTTGTGTTTTGTTATATTATTTATTACATGATTTGTCTACAATATGCGAATATATTTGGTCACTTTTAGTTAAAAATGAGAAGATCCAATTTTCCCCAAATTTCTTGCAACTTTTACGTCTTTACCTTCTGCCTAATGTCCATATTTGTCATGAATTCCTTGAATTCAGTGGTTCTGAATTGAACTGAATTTATTTCCTTTCTGATCACCCGAATCGAATAAATTAACGATCGGGGTATATTAAGTCCCTATTTTTCCGCAATTTAAAAAGAGTCATCCGATAAAAATGTCGTTTGGCTTCTTGTTTCACAAATGTTTTATTATATTATCAGCGCCGCTTATGGATCGGTATCGGTAACTTTTTATATTTATTTATTGTTCTGTTAACAAACGAGATGTAAAAATAAAATGGCAAATAAAAAATAATAAGAGATCTTTCTCGAAGCGGATTGCTAAGAGATATATATATATATCTACATATATGTAAAAGCATTGACCCTTGCATTCGGAGTGGTTGTCCTTAGTAGATTTAAAGGAAAAAATACGTTACGTTGCCCCCAACGTTCTAGAATATTAACACTCCGGAGACTTCTTTTCTGTTAGCGGACAGGGCCGGACTTACCGATCGGTGTTTCCTAGTTTATGGAAAATTGACGAAATATAAAAGATCAACTGATCAAAACCGCAAAGAAGTACAACACATTGGTTTCGATACTGTTTGTTGAACAACGTTGATCGCGATTATTATATCACTCTGGATGAAAATAGCTGTGAACAGAAGAAAGTACTTATATATTTATTGAATCGCCAGGTTCCAATCTCAACATACATATTTTCTTTCCTCCACATTCGCGACCAATATTCTCACCCTATTTTGGCTTGGCGTTGAGTTCTGGGACACCCTGTATATAACAAAATCAGAAATCATTTTTTGACAATAGATTTTTTTTATTTGTATTTGTATCCAATAAATAATCAAACATACTTACACAAATTCAAATTCAACATTCTTTGATTGTCCTTTAAGATTTTAATTTTTTCTAAAATTTTGGAAAAATGATACTCTTTCTTATCTGATATCAAATATAAAGTCTTCACCTTCTTTTTTGTCATATTATATATCATTAGTGATTTGTTTACAATATATGAAATATTTTGTTTCTTTTAGTTAGAAATGAGTAAATCCAGTTTTTCCCAAATTTCTTTCAACTTTACGCCTTTTACTTTCTGCCTAATGACCATACTTGTCAAGAATTCCTTGAACTCAGTGGTCCCTTTTCAACTTTAGAACCACTTTTCAACTTTAGATCTGTCTCTAGTATTTAGCAATAACAATGGTAAAATTCTGGCAGAGTAGTATCAATTTATTTATACCACCCTGATTAGACTAACTTGGTTTCAATCTACTTGCACTATATAGGAGGAGGGCTAGGGGCTTATTATAACAGGGGTAAGTAATAAAAGGCGTTTTTCAATAGTATCTTGAACGACATTAATATATTATTGTGGCTCTAGTGGACATGTTAAACGTCCTGCATAATATTATCAGAGTCACTTTTCCGCAGACCGACGCAGTAAACAGAAGTGTCAGCTACGTCTTTTTTGTCAAGCAATATAAAGTATCATAAAATTTTGTTTTGCGTTATTATTATCGACTAATTTTAAATTGTATCGTTTGAAATGTATTAATCTTTAACATAACTTTGGTTCTTAATGTAACATACTAGGAGGCTTTGACAAAAAATCACGAAATATCTAGGAAGTCTAGTAAGTTATCACGTGTATTTAATAATTACCTCAATTCAAGAAAAGTCTAAAAATAAAAAAAAATAAAAAATTTACGTGTTTTTCTAGGTACTATAAATACACATGATATTGTTTGGATAATTCTAAATATAATCACGTATCACTAAGGGGGGGTCCAAAAATCCTTAGAAATTTGCTCACGTGATTAATAGATGCCTTCCAAAAATTATATACAGTTTCAATGGAAAAATATTGGGTGAAATATATAGTTTAAGCACATGTAAATTGTGTCAGTGGAAACACTATTTCTGTTATTTGTATTTATTATAGTTTACATTGATTTATGAAAAGAATTATTAAGAAGTACATTCAATTTTCTTAAAAATAAGCAATGAGGTATCCCTTGACACTTGGCTCACTATTTTTTCTGTAATTCCGAAAATAATTTGAATTTGTTTCCGAAATTTTAGGAATATATATATATATATAATATATATATATATATATATATTATAATATATATTCTTGGCTAGTTTTGGAAGACAGTTTTGCAGAAAAAAGGCATCTAAAGCAGGCTCTTGTAAATTAATTCATAAAAATAATAAATATTCGTAATCATTGGATCTTAAAATAATAGTCATAAGAAAACTGTCGAAACAAGCCTTTAGCATCCTTACATCAAATATATTTCAAATATGCAATAATTATCTCGTAATGACCAGTAGCTTTCGGAAAGCCTGGAACCTCCTTCCTGTTGACCTCCTGCACAAACATAGAGGCACTGGAACTGGCACCTTGTTTGTAAGAACAATTAAAAAAAGGTTTTGTTGATCGTTTATATAGTTTGGATTTATCGAATTAAAATTGTCCAAGTACGGTCCCCGTGTCTGCATTTACAAATGGGGGTTTTAATCCGTTTCGCACCGCTCGAACAACGAACCGCTTTTATAGGAGACGTTGCACTTTTAATGATCATATATAAAAGAATATAAATCCAACCGGACGGTTCATTACACTCATGTCGAGTGCCCACGGATCACGGGATCCGACAGGAACGACGACGAAACTATTCAGGAATAATAGGAATTCTGCAATTCGACAATCTAAGGAATGGTCAGTCGGAAAATAATTCAAGAAACATGGAACAATTGGTTAAATGTCTATTGCACTAGTTAAGAAAGATTGATCTTGGGGCGGGAAGGGGGGTCCATTAATCACGTGATCGAGTTTTTAGGGATTTTTCGAATCCCCCTCGTCCTTGGTGTTGTGGCGTGATATTTACAATTACCGGGCCTCCTCCACCAAATCACGATATTTTTAGTTACGTAAAATTTCTCAAACATTTTTCGAATTTACGAAAAAATCGTATTTTTTTTTATTTTTTTGAAAAAGTTTGGATTTTTTTTTTCAAAAATTCAGATAAAAAATAAATGCACGTGATATCTTATTAAACCCCTAACTCCCTCACGTTACTTTTTATCACCTCTCCCTTCCCCTCCAAGCCTCACGTGATTATTGGAAGCTCCTTTATCGTTTTACTGAACTATTTAGTCCAGTCAAAAGGTTCAAATTAGGTAAGAGTTTTGGAATTCGAGATACCCAGCTGTAAGTCTGTAAATACTTCTATATTGACATCATGAAAGTTGTCTAAAAACCTACATATGGTATGTACACCCTACCATATGCAGGTTTTGTAAAACTTTTAGGTGTCAATATACAAGTATTTACAGACTTACAGCTGGGTATCTCGAATTCCGAGGTGAACTTACTATAATGACTGGACTAATGGGTTCATTTTGGAAAAGATTCAATATGACTATAGATAAAGTCCTCAAATTTAATGCCTTAAGTTTGTACCAAATATGTACGTCTTTGAATAGAAGATCCTTCTCAGGACTACTTGGAAAGATCAGTCAGAAGTTAATTTGAGATACTCGTCTATTAGTAAGATATTAGCAAGATTTGATCTCCTCATTGGGATTTAAATCATTTCCTTACAATTCACATTAGATCTAATTTGTGGTTTTTGATTCGAGCACACATTAGTTCTATCTTAAAAATTGCAATTGGCAAGCCAATGGGTAGATAGATATGTAGATAAGTAATTTAAAGATTGTAGAGATTAATGAGGGGTGATTAATTAATGCTTTGCAGTTTGATGATTCAAGAAACTTGACTTGGGTAAATGTCTATTATGCTATTTAGGAATGATTGATCTCATCATTTGGAACTATTGGTTAATTTTGGTAGAGCTTCAATACGACTATGGACAATGTCCAGTGCCTTACGTTTATGGCAGATATGTACGTCTTTGAATAGAAGATCTTTCTTCTTGATTTCTTGATTACTTCTTGATTACTTGGAACGATCAGTCAGAAGTTAATTTGAGATAATCGTCTATTCGTGAGATATTAGAAAGATTGATCTTCTCATTGGATTTAAAACATGTCCAATAACCAAACAACTAGATCCAATTTCTGCCTATTGATTAAACACACGTCAGTCTTGTCTTGGCAATTGGCAATAGCCAAGACAAAATCCAAGTAAATTGGAGAGTAATTTACCAAGCATTTTTTGAGAATGTAGAGATTAATGAGGGGTGGATAATTAATGCTTTGTAGATTGATAAATATTCATTCAAGAAACTTGACTTGATTGGGTATATGTCTATTGCGCTTTTAGGAAAGATTGATCTTATCATTTCGAACTATTGGTTAATTCTGGAAAAGATTCAATACGACTATGGACAAAGTTATTAAGTCCAATGCCTTAAGTTTATGCTAAGGTCTTTTAGATAGAAGATCCTACTCCTTGGAAAGATCAGTCAGAAGTTCATTCGAAATACTCATCAATTAGTGAATATTAGCAATATTCCATCTCCCCTTTTGGGATTTAAATAATTAAAATACACCCAAACCCAATTTGTGGTTATTGATTTGAACACCGTCGCTTCTATCTTCAAAATTGGAATTGACAATCCATTAAATAGATAGATATGTATATTTGAGTGGTCTTTAATATGGATATTTTCGAATTTATTTGTTCGCAGGATCTCAAATGGTTCAAAATTGATAGAAAAAAATTCTATGAAAGTTTTTAGATCATAATATTAACTTTAATATAGTTCACACTTCAACCAAAGTTTCTTATAGAAAAACATAAGCAACATTCTATTTGTTTTTAGAATTTCATAACTTAAGCGACAAGTGAATCAAAATTTTGAGAATAACATTGTATTTTGCTGATTTTGATCATAAATAAAAAAAAATTACAAGAAAATATTGATATATTTATAAAATTAGTATTTACATAGAGAAGAACCAAGAAAATTTGATTGGAATGCGGACTATCTTAAAGTTAATATTAAGATCTAAAACTTTCAGAGAATTTTTTTATCAATTAGGAAGCAACCTATAGGTAATTTGGATAATGCAGAGATTTATGAGAGTGAATTGTCTTGTTTGTAAAGGCTTGATCGTTCTCTTGTGTTTTTTGTGCAGAAAAAATCTTTAACTAGGATTCTTTTCAAGCATACTAGACATTGACCATTTTCCTAATTTACACCAAAGTCATTGTATTTTATATAAATCTCTTTTAACTTAAAATGTTTAAATAATTATCCTAATAGTGATATATTAGATCATATTTAATTTTACCAGAATATTTGCTTTGGACAATACAGGTTTTCTTTTATTTTTGTGTACGTGACTCTGACAGCATACGATAAATTCTTTTGTCGGAATCAATAAACTTTAACCGAAATGATTAGTAGATGTAATTAGTGGTACATATTTTCGAGGATCCAAACTATTAATTATTGTTTTCATCTTATAATTGGATTCTTTACTATCTTACTCACTATTGGCTTTTTGCAACTTGAAATATTTTGCTTTGATTTTATAATTTCACCCCGAGCCAGTGAATAAATACTAGTACAATCTAGTAGTGAAGCAATTTTTTCATGAACATTTTCATAAATAATTCATTGCATTTTTCGCTCGAAGTCATATGTGTCTGACTCTAAGAATTTCTACATGAGACATCACACATATATGTCTGACAAACACAATTTGGTAGAAGGAAAAAAAGGTTTATATAGAGTCATGTCAGTCATATATGCGTGACACAAAAAATTGTTTTACCTGGAATTTTGGCAAAAAAATCCTCTGATACATTAAGTTTCTTTGATACATTACACTATTTTCTTAAAAATATTATTATCATTTTTTTTGCTAAATACACATTCCCATTTTCTTATAAACTTTTACATAATTATGAAATAATCTAGTACTAAAATTACTGATCTTTAAGCTCAATTTACAATACTATTACTACTAGTAGCATATCGCTTCATGCAAATATATTATTAATCCTAATTACTCTCTATATTATTAATTTCTAATACTAGTTTTATGTATCTCGACGTTTCAAGTAACTTTGAAGCATTTGACGCCATATTTTGAAGAAGTATGTGTATATTATTAAGAAGAATTTTCATCAAAACTGTTTATAGAACTGTTAAGTTCAAATTTCTGTTCAAAAAAGAAAATAATAATATTGTTTCGGAGCAAAATCCCATATCAATAACCGAATCGAGTTTACCTCCGAAATATAAAAACATGATGACGTGATGTGGACGAAACAAAGGTCAGTTACAAATAATATAAAGAAACAAAATTATCGTTCAGAAAGAATCGTGACGCATTTTTGGTAATTGGAATTTATTTTACTCCATACATTAAACCGGCTAAGGTTTTACTATTATTAACAATGATATTAACTTATTTATGCATTTGTTCACAGATTAATCCGGTTTATCTTTTCTATATTATCATATATATATATATATATATATATATATATATATATATATA